GCTGAGCTACAGGTGCTGAGCCTAATTTTTGTACTTTTAGAGAGACAGGGTCGGGAGTCTTTCTCTTGCTTAAGCTGGTCTTGAACTCCTGACCTCCAGCAAGCCTCCCACTCTGGCCTCCCAGAGTGCTAGGATTACAGCATTCAACCTTCACTTGTTCTTGATAAAGAAACATTTTATAAAACTAAGTCATGCCAGGTGTGGTGGCTCATGCCTGTAATCCCAGCACTCTGGGAGGCTGAGGCAGGTGGACTGCTTGAGCTCAGACTTTGAGACCACCGTGAGTAAGAGCAAGACCACATCTCTACTCAGAATAGAAAAAAACAGCTGGTCATTGTGGTAGGTGCCTGTAGTCCCAGCTACTTGGGAGGGTGAGGCAAAAAAACAGCTTGAGCCCAAGAGTTTGAGGTTGCTGTGAGCTATGATGCCATAGCACTCTACTGAGGGGGACAAAGTAAAACTCTGCCTAAAAAAAAAATTAAGAGGGTCACTTGAGCCCAAGAGTTTGAGGTTGCTATGAGCTATGATGCCACAGCACTACCCAGGGTGATAATGAGACTCTGTCTCAAAAAAATAGTTTTCTTGTGTTTTATTTCACTGCAGGCTTCTGACCAATGCCATTATTGAAGATCTTTCAACTTTCTAAATTACAGAGGAGAGTCATGGGGTGGTGCCTGTGGCTCAGTGAGTAGGGCGCTGGCCCCATATACTGAGAGTAGTGGGGTCCCACCCAGCCCTGGCCAAACTGCAACAATAACAACAAAATAGCTGGGCATTGTGGTGGGTGCCTATAGTCCCAGCTACTCTAGAGGCTAAGGCAAGAGAATCGCCTAAGCCCAAGAGCTGGAGGTTGTTGTGAGCAACACCACGGCACCCTACTGAGGGCGACAGAATGAGACTCTGTCTCAAAAAAAAAGAGAGTCATTATGTTTGGCCAGAACCATTCTCCTACATTTCAAACCCAAGACCCAGAGACATAATCTAAGTCCCATGTGCAAGAACCAGTCCTAGCTTCTTGGCATAAACCCAAAAAGAAACAAAAGACACTGCCCATATAAAAACTCGTACACAAAGTTTATACAGTCAAAAAATGAAAACAACTCAAATGTTCATCAACTGATGAGTAGATAAATAAAATGTGGTATATCCAGACAATGTAATATTATTTCATCATAAAAGAGAATTTAAATACTGATACACACTATAAAACATGGATGACCTTTGGAAACATGCTAAGTAAAAGGAGACTGTCTCAAAAATCCATTTATACGAAATGTCCAGAATAGACAAATCTATAGAGACAGAAAGTAAATTAGTGGTTGCTTAGGGGTGGGGGAGAAAATAGGGAAAATAAGGAGTAATTGTTAATGGGTTTCAGGTGTCTTTTGGGGATAATGAAAATGTTCTAAAATTAGATTGTGGTGATGGTTGTACATTTCTGTGAACATTCTAAAAATCACTGAATGTACACTTTATTTACTTATTTTTAGAGAGAAGGTCTTGCTCTGTCACCCAGGCAGTGGTGCGATCATAGCTCACTGTAACCTTGAACTCCTGGACTCAAGCAACCCTCCTACCTTAGTCTAAGCAGCTAGGACCATAGGCATGTGCCACCATGCCTGGCTAATTGTTTTTATATTTTATTTTTGGAGAGATAAAATCTTGCCATGTTGCTCAGGGTGGTCTCAAACTCTTGGCATTAAGTAATCTCCTTGCCTTGGGCCTCCCAAAGTGCTGGGGTTACAAGTATAAGCCACCATGCCCAGCCCTTATTGTATACTTTAAATGAGTAAACTGGGTGAATTATAAGGTATGTGTGTTATATATCAATAAAGCTGTTAAATAAAAAAGTATGAGAACATGAAGTGTTAAGTAAAAACAATGAAAAATTACTAGAGTTACAAGTTATACTTGAGTTAAGCAGTTAAAGCTTTTTTTGGCCGGGGCTGGGTTTGAACCTGCCACCTCTGGCATATGGGGCCAGTGCCCTACTCCTTTGAGCCACAGGTACTGCCCAAGGCTTTTTAATAACTAAGTTTCCTTCTGTCTGGTCAGGAGACATAACCTGAGGAAAGGACTTTCAGGATGGAGAGCTTCTGGAGGAAAACCTTAAATAGTAGCTCAAACACTACTACCAGCCCAAGGATTTAGATGGCTTATTTATTTGAAGGTCAGACAAAAATTAGGAGCCTTATTCTGAAAGTAAGGTGTCTTATGTAAGTCAGAAATGTGGAAGCTCAGGTTGCTGGCTGTGAAAAGTACTGCTATTAATATAAGCAAACTGGGTATTATAAACTGTTCTTCATATAGTCTAACAGGGCAATATACTGTTTTACGATACCATCAAGATGTTCTCCTACATTTTCCCATATATTTTACTACTAGTAGCTAGATTTCAGTTTGATTTTCAAACTTTTCATTGTTTGCAAAATCGCATTTGGATATTTAAAGTGCAGCCCAGACCAAAAAAATTTTAACCAGTTCAAGAAACATGTATAAGGAAGTACAATCAGACAGAAGAAGTCCTGGATTTGCTCTCCCTTCTGCCATCAACTTTCAGTTACTGTTGAGCTTAGCCAAAGCAGCTTTAGTTTATGTGACAGTCTGGCTTTTGTGAGCTGCGTTTATACTCATATTGCCTCATCTATTCCAGTCTGGATCCCAAATCAAGTCCATTCAGCTTGTGTAAAATTTTCTTTTCTTTTTAGTATGAGGAAAGCTAAGTGAATGATGTCAAGCAGAAACCTGGGGGACAGTTAAGTGTGGAAGTTTGACTAAAGAAAAAGGCCAACCAGAGCCAGGAGATTTAAATGCCACTGACTCCACTTACTTTTATATGCCATACAGTAATTTGTCCAACATGTTAGTCAGACAAGTTGGATTTAAACCAGTAATTTGTCTTTTTTTTTTTTTTTTTACTGTAAGGGATAAATGTCCACACCAAACAGAAATACAAAGCTTAGCTGGGCCTACTTCCTCTATGCATTCAAGTGTTTTGAGGAAGTGCCCCTCCTGCACCTCTGGTGGTAGCCATCGATAAGGAAGGTTTTAGAAAGTATAACCCAAGGCTCAGTGCTTTGGCTCACACCTGTAATTCTAGCACTCCCGGATGTCAAGGTAGGAGGATTCCTGGAGCTCTGGAGTTTGAGACCAGCCTGAGCAAGAGCGAGACCCTATCTCTACTAAAAAAAAAAAAATTTAGCTGGGTATTGTGGCAGGTACCTGTAGTCCCATCTACTTGGGAGGCTGAGTCAAGAGGATCACTTGAATACAGGAGATTGAGGTTGCTGTGAGCTAGGCTCATGCTATAGCACTATAGCCTGGGCAACAGAGTGAGACTCTGTCTCTTAAAAAAAAAAAAGTGTAACCCAAAGCTAATATTTAAAACAATGCCCCCCCATTCTTTTTTTTTTTGAGACTGAGCCTCAAGCTGTCACCCTGGGTAGAGTGCTATGGCATCACAGCTCACAGCAGCCTCCAACTCCTGTGGAAGAATAGCTCAAGGGATTCTCCCACCTCTGCCTCCCAAGTAGCTGGGACTACAGGTGCCTGCCACAACACCCGGCTATTTTCTTTTTTGGTTGTAGCCATCATTGTTGTTTGGTGGGCCAGGGCTGGATTTGAATGGGCCAGCTCAGGTGTATGTGGCTGGCGCCTTAGCCACTTGAGCCACATACACCTAGTCGTGCCCCTCCATTCTTTAAAAAATCTTCCATAGCTGGAGAGTTTTGATAGGAGGGCAATACTATCCAATAAAATGGATTATAATTCTGAGCTGCTATATTTGCAACTAGATGAAGCCCTGAAGAAAAAGTAGAGCATTCACCAAAATAGCTGAGATTACCTTGACTAGAGCTAAACTCAAATAATGGCTTAACAGGCTTCAGTATTTCTGGCTTTCACCTGTAGGCTATATACTCAAGGTTTGCAGTCTTCCTAATAATTGCAATTTCTTCTGTTTCCAGAGGTCACAAGTCATCCAAGTTGTATATTTATGACAACAAGCAACCACATCTTTCTATAGCATTTATCAGAATTACTGTCCTCAACTTGACTTTTATTTTTTCCCCAAAATGACTCAAAGAAGGCTTATTCATAGTAGAAGAGAAGCCTCAGGCTGATTATCTTCCTAAGGTGTGGGCATCCTGTATCTGTAGACCTCTTTCCCAAGAAACATTTTCTATGATTCTTTTATAACCTCATACTGCAGGTGTGCCTAATTTTAGAGAAATCCAATATAAGAAAATAAAATGCATATACTACTGTTACTAGATATTTTTCATTGTAGGCAAACATTTATTTGGTGACTCCCTGCTTCCAAATCTAGACCTTGGCATTTAAGAACTAATGTTTTAATATGTGATATAATGACTCTTGTTATCACAATAATGACAATGAGTCTATACCCTTTTCCTCACATGATCACTAGAGAGCAGAAAGAAAAATTTAATCTTTGATTAGTTGAAACAATTTTGCATAGGATGGATCCCTTGGACGGGAACATCTGAACATATATTAGCTATCAAAACCTTAACCAAGAAGTCACATATGACTTCATTAGAGCATTTTTGCACCTTATTATGCAAGAAAGATTTATTGAACGTCTGCTACATGTATAAGGCATTCTTCTAAGTGCTAGAAAAATTGTCCAACTCCAATGCTTTCTTTTTTCACTAATGAAGAACTGATGGAGAAATGGGGATGAAGTAATAAGTCTTTTAGAACAAAACGAAAGACAAGGTTATGAAGAAAAGAATAGCATATACACAGCTATACCTGCATGCTTGTTGCGCCTGTGGCTGATTCTCGGTGTAGATGAACCATTTCCCCGTGGTAGAAAAAGAGCAGCACCTTTGACAGTTAGAAAGCTCTCGCTGATGCTACAAGGAAAAATTTAAAAGAAAATAAATTATTTAGGGGACGAAATCAAATCAAATTATTTAGGGGTAGGATAGAGAACCAGTATAGGACTATTCTTCTCCCTATTCCAAAATTCCAACTTTATGGGGTAAGTTAAAAATAAAATCAAGAAAAGACTCTGGTTACTCACAAAATTCTGTCTACTCCACATTTTTTTCTTTTTACATGTAGTTTATGGGTAGTTATTAACCACATTTCTATAAATATAAACATTCTAAGTGACCATCACTAGTGCAGGTACATTTAACATATGAAAGCTCAATATGAAGCTATTTCATTTTGTTTGTAACATGAATCAAGATTCCAAAAACGCAGTTGTTCCACTAAAAAATAACAACCCAAAACAAACCTTACTAGCAAAGTGAATCTCTTCTGGTGATTTTCAAAACTGTTGGCTTTACATATAACCAAGTATGCTGATTTAATGATATATGCTCACATAGGTAATAATAAAATAAAGGTCTTTCCTCCTCATAACTTAAGAGTTTTTACAATTCCAATGTAAACAGCACCAGTAAATTTTCATAAAACAGCTTTGCTACTTTCCCCTTCATTTTCTATAATTTTAATCGTTATCTATGGTACTATACCATTTCTTCCTTCATATAATCAACAACTGTTGAGTCCTCTGTTGAGTACTCTTAAATTTGTAAATTTAGAACACATATAGGATATCGTTTACATTTTCTTCTCTCTTCTTTTTTTTTGATAGAGTTTCACTTCACTTGGTCAACCTTGGTAGAGTGCTATGCCGTCTTAGCTCACAGCAACCTCAAACTCTTGGGTTCAAGTGATCCTCTTGCCTCAGCCTCCCAAGTAGCTGGAACTACAGGCGCCTGCCATAATGCCCAGCTATTTTTTTTTGGCCAGGTCCAGGTTTGAACCCACCACCCTCGGTCTATGGGGCCGGTACCCTACCCACGCTGCCTCACTTGGCTATTTTTTGATTGTAGTTGTTATTGTTGTTTGGTAGGCCTGGTCTGGATTTGAACCCGCCAGCTCCAGTGTATGTGGCTAGTGCCATAGCCACTGAGCTATAGGCACCAAGCCTAAAATATTCTATATACATTACAAGGAAGCAGTTAAGAGTGGAGGCTGTGGAACTAGGCTGCTTGGGTTTATATCTTGGCTCTGCTACCTCCTATCTAAATGCTCCATTTTGGAACTCAATTTCCTTATCTGTAAAACAGGGATAAGGTTATTGTAAATAAGGTTGTTGTAAAAAGCCAATGAGCATGTAGTTTCTTTCTTTCTTTCTTTTTTTGTTTTAGAGACAGAGTCTTACTTTGTCACTCTTGGTAGAGTGCCATGATGTCAAAGCTCACAGCAACCTCCAATTCCAGGGCTGAGGCAATACTCCTGCCTCAGCCTCCTGAGTAGCTGGGACTACAGGTGCCTGCCACAACGCCCGGCTGAGTATGTAGTTTCTTAAAGTGGTGCCTTGCACATAGTAATAAACTCTTAAATATTAGTTATTATTAGGTCCATGGTTATCAATAATGGTGTTTCAACAATGTCCTGACTAGAGACGAAGTATGTTACAATATTTAATTACTAATAATAGATTCAAAGTTTGCAAAAAAGATTTATGTTTAAAGTATACACTACACTAAAGTGTTAGCTCAACTAGTATCACCATACTCATTGAAAAATAGTAGTGCAGAGCCATTGTGTTTTACCCACTGGAGTGTGCCCTTCATCTTAACATTATCATTCATGAGGGTGATAAATAGGTGGAGAATCACTGCTCAGGTTAGTAGGTACTCAAATACAATCACTATTTGGTACCTCAAAAATAATAGAAAATACATCTAAATTATTTCAAATTGATGGACCAACAAGCCTTTCAATTTCACCCACAAAATCTGAAAAGGACATAATGGAGGGTTCCAAGTTTGCTTGTGAGTATGGTATAAGCTGATGTTTTATAATGATACTGCCTACTCAATATTTTCACTTGAAAACCTAACTGGCATTTTAAATTTATACTGCCAAAACTAAACTCTTGAAATTCTTCAAACTGATTCCTAGCCTCAACTCCCCAGTTGTTTGAGTAAAATACATACTAGTCATACTGGGCTTCTCCTTTCTCTCCTACAATGTAGATCTAATCCATCACCAAGTCCCATGAGCTTTACTTTCAAATATGACTTGAATCTGCTGCCCACTTCCATGTACCCCCATCACCACTATCACACTGGCCCATGGTACCAACATTTCTCACTTGGACTTCTACTAAAAAGTTTCTCTTAAAAAAGCCTTTATTACAGAAAATTTCAAACATATATAAAAGTAGAGGGAATAATATAACTCTCATGTTCTCATCACATTCCAGCTTTAATTAATCAATTTTGTTTCTTCTACATCCTCCCACCCTTCACCTTGCCCTGAAAGTGAAACAAATCCCAGACATTTTATCAGCAAAAAGCCTCTTAACATCTCTGCTGCAACCACTTCTGCCCCCCACCCCCATTATCCACTCAAACAGCAACTAAAGTGATTTTAAAATACATGTAGATCATGCAATGTCACTTCCCTGCTTTAAACCCTCCAAAGGCTTTTCTTTGCGGGATAAATAAAGAGCCAGTCTTTAGGATGTTCTTCATACTGTAAACAAGCTACTGCTCTGCTCTTACACCATCTCCTCTTGTTTACTATGACCTAGTCACACTGTCTTACTGTCCCCCTTTCTGTTTCTTCAATATTTCAGGCCCTCTTTAGGGCCTTTGTGCTTTTTGTCCTCTACTTCGAACTTTTCTCCTGGCCTGTCACTATTTAAGTAACTGCCCCTTCCCTAATTATTCTCTACCCTATTGTTCTGTTTCCTTCAGGATATTACACACATTATAAACTAAAATTGTATTTATTTACTTGTATACTTGATTGTGGTTGTATCTTTA